AAATTTACTTTACAAAAAAAAATAATAATAATACCATAAATCCAAAAATATAATATTTAGTTGACTTAAACAAAAAAGTTTGCATTTTGTTTAATATTATTAAAAATTACATAACTAAATTTAATTTTTATTGTTATATTATATTGCATTCGGTTCCATTCCATTTCAATCTCATTTAAGAAATCGACATCAATTATATATATGCATAGTTGCATACCAAAACAGAACACGCTACAACATGTCTTATCCTATTCCTATAAAAGGCTAGTTAATTGTACAAGAAGTATAGCCAATCTAAGGGCTTACACGCAACCGATCGAACCAATTATCAACATATGCCTTCCGAAATTTCATAACTTCTCCAGGTTGTTAATTAGGTCACCAGATTGTAATCCTTACACTACTTAAAAATATCTATAGACTTAAATCACAAAATCTATTAAAATAATATGAACAACATAAATCACAACGAAACCCAGTTAGATCCACAAAAAAAAGAGATAGCAACTTGATTGGTAGTGTACCTCATCATTGCGGAGATGATTACGAGAAGAAAAAGCGAAGTGGATCCCCATGGCCATATCTCTATCATACATAGCCCTCCGGTTAGGATCCGACAATGTTTCATATGCTTCCTGTACCCGAATAAACCTCTGAGTATACTCCTCCGCCCTGCCCGGCGGAGACACGTCGGGATGATACTTCCTGGCTAACTGTTTATACGCTTGCTTGATCTCCACAGATGTCACCGTTTCCGGGATACCCAGAAGCTGGTAAAAGCTCAGATCTTCCATAACTGTCTCCGATACAGATCCACTGCCATCTTTAACGGCGGTCGCCGCCGCCGCCGATTTGGTTCTGAAAGATTTCGCAGTACGAGTGGCTATAGGTAAACGAACTGTGGATGGAATCGAAAAGTGGGGTTGTCGGGAAACGAGAGGTGGGGGTGTGGTAGGGATTCTTGAGATAAATCCATGGCTGCAACACATGATCCTAATTATAAATTCAGAATATTTGTTGGTTTTGTTTAAGAATATAATGGTGGGTGACAAGGAGAAAGGAGGTTCGGATATATAAAGATAGGTTGTGGGTGCACGTGTCTTGTACGTGAGGGGTGTTTCTGTCAATGTACAGTATGTGTGTCATTGTCTTTCTGACTAGTGGCTTTAACTTGTATGGTATTTAGGCTATGGGGGGCGTTAAGAAGACTCGCTGGAGCTTGCTACCTTTGCTCCACACCGCCTCCTCGCTATTCCTAGGAGCACCTCGCCCTCACCTTAGGTTATGGGAGGGTTGTTTTTGTGCGTAAACATCTATATGTGGGGATGTTCACGAACACCGCCCGAATAGGTGTAAATGTTGTGAAGATTGAAGCTGGTTACGGGTTCTCACAGCCAATCAAAAACAGTTCTCCCAAATCACTCATTAGTTTCTCTCTATCTATCTCTTCCTTTTCACTTTCTCTTTCTTGTTCACTAGTTGTTCATTATTAGTGAACATCCCAAACACTAGTGAATGCAATGTGAAAGAGATATAATGGTGATGTGGAATTAATTTGACGGGTGAATATATTATCAACATACCTCATAGTCTTAGCGTGAAGAGAAAGAGGAGAGAGGAAAAAGATGATGGGTTGGTGGTTTCTGGTTGGTTCTTGGCTATTGTTTGTCCTTTTTTTTCTCTAAAATTATATCTATTGACTCGCTATCTTTTTTATGTTGGACATGTTAAGCTTATGTGACATTAAAAAATAAAAAATAAAAAAAAATAAAAAAAATAAAAAAAAAAGGTAATGAGCTAGGAATGTTAACATTTCCTTCAGCCTTATTGATACATATCAATATCAATGAACCAAAAGGTTGTTGGTTTAGTAGAAGTTTAAGATTTTTTTTGGAGTTTTTTTTATTTATAAATCTTATCAGTAGCTCTTTCCAATTATTATACTATCGTTTTTCTCGTATTAATTCTTGGTGGGTATTAATTCATTTTAAGATCATAAACCATTTCGAAAACTGATGATGCAAACATGGGGAGCTAAAATTCATCCGTTTCCTTCAAATATCGTAGAATCAGGCCGGAGAATCCTTCCAAGATACCAACTGCTGCTTAGAAACACCAGGTGCCCACCTGTTTTTTCTTTTTTTCACCTACGACTACAGACCCTTTATATACCCTTCACGATTCCCCCCCCCCCTCTCCTGATGCTCAATGCCTTAACACCCACCTGCTGCTCAATGCCTAAACACCCACCTGCTGCTCAATGTCTCCCCCTGAAGTTCTTCTTAACCTATGATTAAGATTCTTTTTTATTTTTTTCTGATTGTGGTGTTCTTCGGATCTTCTCAACCTGTCATGTTAATATGCTTTCTTACATCCACCGCTACCTTGAAGTTTCATCGAATCCAGGTACGTTTTAGGATTTGAATGTAAGGCTTTTTTTTCTTATATACATTAGCTTCTAATGTTGGTTTATGGAGTTTTTGGATTCCGTATGTGTGTGGATAATCGAATCCTTCAAAATTGAATTTATAGTTGTTAGAGCTTCATATGGTGATTTTGATACTTTTGAATTGCTTTTAGGGTTTGGATTGTATTTGGGTATTTGTCTACTTTGTTCAGTTTGCAATATGATAAGGTTTAGTGTTGTAGAGAGGCTCTTTGAAGTTATGAGTTTGAGATGGATTTTACATAAATTTGTGGACTGATTGTTTGTAGGCCAAATGTTGCATTTTTCTTAAAAAAAATTAGGATATTTGTTGAAAGTGGCCCGTATTCCCCCTGTTGTGAACTAGGTGGAGTTCCATCCTTCATGGCATGATGACTTACTGAGAGATAAATGCATTTAAATTTCTTACTAAGACATTAACTATAATGTTAAAAAAAAAAAAGAGATTTAGGTGATATAGCTTCATCAAATGAAAGTAGATGTTGCATAGATGGTGCGGATTTTAAAGAACTGTTTTTCTTTTACTTTATAAATTTTGTAAACAAAAATTCATCAGTTATAATTAAATAATATGAACTTCATTTATATTGATTTTTTTGCAGGCTAAGAGCCTTTTTGGCTTGAACGAACTTTGCAAAGGATTGGCACTTGCAAGTAATTTCCAGTTCCCTTTCTTAGAGAGGTAGATCATCAACTTTACTCTTTTACCCATCATTTCTTATGTTGGTTAAAGCTTATAGAGGTTTATTTTGGTAATTTAATATTTTTTGCTATTGCAGCCTCCATAATCCTTTCTTGCGACTATGGAAGAATACATAAGAGAGGTACCACATATGTTCTTTGCGTCAGCAGAGACATTGGTACATTTTTACAACAAAATCTGATAAAATTTATTTTTTATTTACTTTTCACATAATCTTCTACCTTTCTTTTATAATATCCCAGAAAGGCTTATAAACCAGAAGAAGACATCGATCCTCGACAAGATGCAAATTCACCCATCGATGCGGTCATACTTGATTTGACAAGTGAGGCCTGTTGTGTCAAAACTCAAATGCATATTTTGTCGACCAACTTTTGATAGTCGGGATCCTGATGATTTACTGGTAATATGATAAGTCAAGAATTCAATCAATGAAATATTATGAAAATAATAACAACACAATATGTAAATAAAACCTGATTTAAGCTCTTATTAGTGTGGATATCAAGGTTACAATGCTCAAATGTGAAAAGTGAAAAAGTGTTCTTAGTAACCTAGACTCTAGCACTATTTATAGTACTCACAGACTCAAAATGTATAGCAGGACTTCGTCATACAAAGAGTTACTAACTAAAGTGCCTCTTAAAATACATAGATATATCGAAGTTGCGTAAACTTCGATACAAACAACTGCACTACACTAGACATTAAAGACAAAGACTTCGCATATAGAATAACTTTGATTTTTGAAATGACATAATTAAACATGAAAATTTCCATTTTTGAAAATAAAGCAGCCTGTTTTTCTTTTAGTTGAGCACGAGTTAAGACTCCTAAAAAAGTATCTCTAATGACTTCAGTTTTTGGATAATCTTTTGTCCATTTTGTCAAAGGTGGATAATTTTGATCATATCCAGGATCAATTTCAGCAATTATTTCTTCAACTTCCGATTGCACATATGTGTCATCATGCATTGAACTCTCCCCCTGGGCATTTGTGTTCATATTTGAATTCTCCCCCTGGACACGAGCAATATTAGTTAAATTCTCCCTCTGCATAAGATCATCGTTTTTGTAAATTAGAATTGGAGTTAGAATTTGAAGGAACAAATTCTTCATTTGAACGTGGAACAAAATTTTCTAAATCCTCCCCTTAGAAATATGATTCGGACTATCTTCATGAATTTCAATATTTTCAATAGCATCACCAACTAACTTCAACAATTCATCTTCTTTGCTATCTTTAACTTTTTCTTCGGAAGAAATTGCCTTTTCTGGCCCATCAAAAAGATTTTAAAAAATCTTCATAAAGAGTCATAAGAGGACATGTTTGAGAATTGGAAGATGGAAAAATCTCATCAGATTGAACATTTGGATTTTGTTCAGAATGTTTGACAAATTTATCATCAAAAGTAACATAATAGCTTTCTTCAATCTTCTTAGACTTTTTGTTAAGAACTCGAAAAGCTTTTTACATCAAGGAGTATCCTAGTAAAATTCCTTCATCAGCTTTAACATCAAACTTGTTGCGATGTTCCTTTGAGTTATGGATAAAGCACCTAGAACCAAAAACATGAAAGAATTTGACGTTAGATTTTCGTTTATTTAAAATTTCATATGGAGTAGTAGAAAATCTTTTATTGATAAATAACGATTTTTAGTAAAGCATGAAGCTCCAATCGCTTCAACCTAAAAATATAATGGAAGATTGGCAAAAGTTAACATTATTCTCGCAACTTCATATAAGGAACACTTTTGCCTTTCAGCTACACCATTCTGTTATGGAGTGTATAGAGATGAAAAGTTATGACTTATTCATTTGTTTATCAAGAATTCTTCAAATACTTGATTTTTGAATTCTGATCCGTTATCACTTCTGATCTTCCGAACTGTTTTTCGCAATTGTAACTCTATCTACTTCACAAAATCAATCATCCTTTTTGGAGTTTCAGATTTCTATTTAAGAAAGAAAACCCATGTAAATCGTGAAAAATTATCAACAATAACAAAGATATATTTGTTACCACCAATACTTTCAATTGAAGAATGACTTTTTGAGTTTTATTTCCCATTTCGCAAGCTACACACAAATGTTCTTTTTCAAATTTGACAAGTGGAAGACCTCACACATGATCACCAATAACAAGTTTATTTATATCTTTAAACTTGAGATGTGAAAGTCTCATGTGCCATAACCAGCTATCTTCCGAACATGCTTTAGCAAGCAAGCAAATTGAAGGTTTTCCTTGAATTGGTTTCAAATTTAGGGGATACATTTCTCCTTTTCATTTTGATTTCATAATCACTTTCACTGAAGCTTTATGAACGATACTTTGAGACCAGAACCTACAACAAGTTGAGAAACATTTATTAAATTGTGTTGCAATCTTTCAACATAAGCTACCTTTCATATTGTAAAGTCTCCATTCGTGATAATTCCATGTCCTTTGATTTCTCCAGTTGCATTGTTACCAAACTTCACTTTTCCACCATCTTTCAAACCTTGATACTCTCTCAACTCTAATTTCCTTCCAGTCGTATGACAAGAACAACCACTGTCAATGTACCATTCCGAATCAAACTACTCGTCATGTATTACCTATAAAATTAAGCCAATTTAGGAACCTAAACCATCTTCGGTCCTTGTAAGATTTTGGATTTGGAATTCAAGACACGAAAAAAATTTGTATTGTCGATCCAAAATGATTTCTTAACCATTACATTGTTCACTCCTTTTTCCATTTTGAAAACATGATATTTGTTATCACAAATATTTATTTCAACAAACACATAATTTTGTTTAAAATGTGCTTTTCTTTGTTTTACCATCTTTTCCAAAAATTCATCTTCTTCTTGTTTCAATTTGTATTCATATGCTTAAAGAATAACAT